GGGGGGGGAGGGGAACTTCTCGAATGGTGTAGAGATTATCTGAGAAACCGACAACAGAGGGTAGTTGTACGTGGAGGGACTTCTGATTGGCTGACAGTTACATCGGGTGTACCCCAGGGGTCAATTCTGGGACCGTTGTTTTTAATAATTTATATTAATGATTTGTCTGGTGTGGTTTCTGATGGCAATAGGATAGTTCTTTACGCTGACGATAGTAAACTTCATAAGGTTATTCACTCTGTTAACGATCAAGAGCGCTCCCAGCAGGACCTAAATAAGATCAATGAGTGGTGTGTAGATAATAAGATGAGGATCAATGCCAGTAAATGCAAGGTTATGAGAATTACCAAAAAGAGGTCCCCTTTTACCTACGACTATCATATTCTCTCTATATATCTCTTTGTGCCATAAGGCACATAAGGCTTTGACATTCTCATTCCATCCTCTTCGGTTTGTTTCTAAAGTTCTAACACGACCATCATATTGATGGGACTAAACTCGAGTCGGCTTCTTTGCATAGAGACCTGGGCTTGTTAACTAGTCATGTTCTCTCTTGGAATTACCACATTGCCAATATCACAGCAAAGGCAAATAGCAAAGGCAAATTATTTTTAGGCCTTTTCAAAAGAACATGTTGGGATGTCAATAAAGTCACAACTCTTAAAACTCTGTATTGTAGTCTTGTGAGGCCTAAAGTTGAATATGCTTTTCAGGTGTAGAATCCTTATACGAAGAGTAATTTTAGTCGCATAGAGTCAATTCAAACAAGGGCATCCAAATTTATTTTTTAAAGTGATGACAATTATTTGGTTAGGCTACGTGAACTTCGCTTGTTATCTTTAGAGGATAGGAGATTTATTGTGGATGTTGTTTTCTTTTATAAGGTGGTTCAGTAATAATCATGTTCGCCTGACCCTTGATTCTAGGGTTCGATTCTCTAGGGATGTTCACAGGGGATCTACATTGAGAAGTATGGATACTCCAAACCTTTTAACCAGCTTTTCTTGGACAAATTTATTTAAATTTAGCTTTATAAGAAGAATAGTTGGTGAACGGAATAGTATCCCTCTTGATATTCGAGAAGCATCATCCGTGGCAGATTTTAAGTTAAAGGTTTCTACATTTTTAACTCTTTGAATTTCTGTATATTCATTTTTGATTTGTGTGTGTGCGTTATTAGAAGGTTTATAGATAGTTTGGAGTTTCCGCCTAGAATGGTGCTGCGGCGCTTTTTGAGGATTCTTCCCATTTCAACACATTGTCACGTAAATATTTTTATCATTGTTCTTGTTGCTAAAATAAAGCTCAATAAAGAATGCGCCCGAAAATAAAGTGTTCGATGTTGTTGTCTTTGAGGGTCCATATGTGTTTCCTTAGTTCGGTGGAGTTTCTGTGTTTAGCGTGGCGGAATGATGCGGTGTGGTTTCTGTATCTTGTTTTGAAGTTGTTCTCTGTGACTCCGATGCACTTTTCTGTCGTTTCGTTGCCTTTGCGTGTAACGGTGGCTTGGTAAATTACAGAT